CATTCACATGCAGTTGGTTCTGCAGCCGCATGTGCCGCTCATGGGATTTGGAGTAAGCCAGACCCCAAAACAGCAAGACAGGTCTACATGTTGAAGCACTACAAAAAGACTAGGCAAGGATGGGATGGGATGGGATGGGATGGGATGGGATGATAGGATAGGAATAGAACAGAATAGAATAGAATAGGTGGAGGACACATGTATGTATGTAGAAGAGCTGAAAAGTTTCCATTCACCAGCAATATTCTAAATTTGCAGATATCTAATAACATAGCCTCAAAGTATATAAAGCAGAAATGGGCAGAACTACAATAAGAAAATGACATCTTATATCATCATAGGAAGAATTGTTTTTGCACTTTTGTATTAAGATGTAACAGTGAAATGAAATAGATCTTAAATGTATAGTTGGATAAATTTTGACAAATGCATACTCATGTAATCATACCCCTATTAAGATAAAAAACATTTCCATCATCCCAGAAAGACCCCTTGTGCCCCTTTGCAGTCTATTCTCCATTCCATCCCCTTGACTGTTCTAGAACGTCATATAAATGGAATCATATAATATGTACTCTTTTTGCTCCCAGCTTCTTTTGCTCAGCATACTGGTTTTGTTTGTTTTTTTAAAGATTCATCCCTGTTGAATATATCCATAAGTAGTCTATTCCTTTTTAATTGCTAAGTAGTATTCTTTGCTGAAAGATAATAGTTTTCCAACACTGGAAAATTTTTCCTTTTTTGGTGCTATTCATAATGTGACAGTTACAGACAAGGCATACTCTTAATATGCAGTATTTACATTGTCTTTATCACTTTCTTAAGTTTATCCATTCACCAGTTGATGGTCCTTTGGGTTGCTGAAGGAGAAGTGTAAGAGATTTATTGGGGGAAATTTCTGTGAAAGGAATAGGAAAGTCTTCAGGCCAAGATATAGTCTGACACTTTAGAAAGCAAAGAGGGGAGGGAGAATAATCCAACTTAATAAGAAAAAAATAAGAAATTTTATTAAAAATAATAAGAAAGTGGAAGTACAAAAATAAAGTAAAAGTAAGGAAATAAGCACAGAAATCAGATAAATGGAAGAAATTAATGTGCAATAAAGAAGATTTGAGCCCTTCTTCCCACACTTTTGTTTGCTGGTCTGGAGTGTGAGCACCTACAAAGTCCCCCACACCTCCAATAGAGCAAAATTAATTCTTTGAAAAGATGAATACGATATAAACAGAAAAGTCATAGAATTATCTCAACAAATACAGAAAATGTATTGGATAAAAATTGACATTCATACATGATTAGAACAAAAACTCTTAACTAGGAATAAAAGGAAATGTCCTTAATCTGATAAAGGACATCTAACAAACAAAAATAAAACTAAAACAAAATAGCAACCACCATAGTGATGAAAAGATGGGCAAAACGAAGATGCCCAACATATTAGTTACCTACTGCTGTAGATACCCTAAAACAATAAACATTACTCCACATAGTTTCTGAGGGTCAGACATTTAGGGGTTTAGCTGAATGATTCAGGATCAGGTTCAGGAACAAGGTTGTCAAGCTGTTGGTTAGGGCTACAATCTTCTCAAGGCTCAACTGAGAGTGGAGAATCCACTTCCAAGCTAATGAGCTTCATTAGTCAACATGTGATTGTTGACAGACCTCACTTCCTAGCTAACTATTGGCCAAAGTCCTCTCCATAGAGCTTCTCACACCATAGCAGCTTGTTCCTCTCAGAGCAAATGATTCAGGAAAGAGGGAAAGCCAAAGAGTATCCAAGACAGAAGCGTGTTTTACAATTTAATCTTGAAAGTCACATATTGTCACTTTTGCTTTATGCTATTGATCATATGCTACCACCAAACCCTGGTACAATGTAGGACACAGGGACTTGAGTGTGAATACAAGAAGGCAGGAATTACTAGGTGCTACTTGGGAGGTTGGCCACCACACTCACTGATCATTTCTATTCTGCATTGTACTTCAGGTCCTAGCCAGCAGGAAAGGAAAAAGGGGGAGGGGGGAGAGGAAGTATAAGGATTGGAGAGGGAGAAAAAAAAACCCTCTAAATACTTACAGATAACTTAATTGTGTAGATCTCCCAAAAAGATAGAGGTATTATTGGAGTAATAAGAGTTTAACAAGGTTGCTGGATACAAAATCAATTTACAAAATCTGTTCCATTTCTTTCTGTGCTTTATTTTGGATAGTTTCTAAGGTCCCGTCTTCAAGTTTGCTGTCCTTTTCTTCAGTAATGTCTAATCTGATATGAATCCTACCCAGAGTACTTTTCTGAAAGAGATTGAAATTTTCATTTCTAGGTATTTCATTTGGGTCTCTTTTACATCTTCCACTTCTCTCATGTTCATATTTTCATATATCCTTGAACAGATATGGAAGATTTATAAAAGGTGTTTTTAGGTCTGATAATTCATTTGTCATTTTTGGGTTTCTCTTGGTTTTCTCCATTATGGGTCAGTTTCCTGCTTCTTTGCATGACCAATAATTTTTTTCTAATTTGTTTATTGTGATAAAATACACATAAAACCTACTATCTTAACCATTTTT